TTTGATTCTATGAGTTTCTTTATTCCATCCTTAATTTCTTCTATAACCCAGTAGTTTTTGAGCAAGGTGTTGTTCAGTTTCCATGTGTTTGATTTTTTTCTTGCTTTTTCTGTTATTGATTTCCACTTTAATAGTTTTATGGTCAGAAAAGATGCTTTGTAATATTTTGTTGCTTTGGATTTTGTTAAGCCTTGCTTTATGGGCTAGTATGTGGTCTATTCTGGAGAATATTCCACGTGCATTGGAAAACAAAGTATACTTGGCTGCTGTTGGGTGGAGTGTTCAGTATATGTCCACGAGATCAAGTTGATTGTAGCATTTAGATCTTCCGTGTCTTCGCTGAGCTTCTTTCTGGGTGTTCTGTCCTTCACTAAAAGTGGTGTGTTGAAGCCTCCTACTACTATTGTGGAACTGTCTATCTCTCTTTTCAATGCTGTTAGAGTTTCGTTTTATGTATTTTGGAGCCCTGTCATGGGGTGCATAAATATTTATTGTAGTTATGTCCTCCTGATGTATTGACCCTTTAATCATTGTATAGTGTCCTTCCTTATCCTTTGTGGTGGATTTTACTCTAAAGTCTTTTTTGCCAGAGATTAATACTGCCACTCCTGCTCTTTTTTGATTGTTGTTTGTTTGATATATTTTTTCCCATCCTTTGAGTTTTAGTCTGTTTGTGTCTTTAAGTCTGAGGTGTGTCTCTTGTAGGCAGCATATAGAAGGATCGTGTTTTTTAATCCAATCTGCCACTCTCTGTCTCTTTACTGATGCATTTAGTCCGTTTACATTCAGCATAGTTATTGATAAGTATGAGTTTAGTGCTGTCATTTTGATGTCTTTTTTGTGTGTTGACAGTTTCTTTATTGCATTTAATTTTCTGTGCTGAGTAGTTTTTCTTTATGTATTTTCTTTTCATCTTTTTCATTGTTGTTGATTTTGTATTTGCTGAGTCTTTATGTTTTTCTTGTTTTTTATTTTGACATGTAGGATTGTTAGTTTCCTTCACGGTTACCTTGATATTTATCCCTATTTTTCTAAGTTTGTACGTCTTTTATTTCTTTATATCTCCTTGACTTCTGAGAAGGACATCATCTTTGGTAAAGTAGAATGTCAGCAAAAGAGGAGAACCCTCGAGAAGACAGATTGACACACTGGCTGTAATGGTGGGCTCAAGTATAGCAATGAGAGTGAGGACTGGGCAGTGTTTTGTTCTGTTGTACAGTGTCACTATGAGTCAGAAGCGAGTTGATGGCACCGAGCAACAACATACATTTATAGGATGGCCCAATCTTCCCACTTATGTAGTTCCTAGTAATGGATAATAAAGCCACATAATGTAAGTCCTTTAGCATCCTTTTTCTGAACCTCCAAAATCTTTTTTTTTTTTTTAATCTTCTTCATTTTTTGCTGGCCATTGGTTTTGGAAAATAAAATATTCTTATCTACGTTCTAATCCTGTCTCTTTGCTCTTGATACTATTACCTCTCACTTCTTCTGAGACTGTTGTATCCATTGTATCTGCTTATTTATGCATCTTATTTATCATAATTATTTTTATTATCAACAAACCTCAGTATATTATTTTATAGTGTACAAATTTATTTAATTATATATTATCTCATTTTATACTTTCAGCAGTCTGAATAAATTATTGATGATCCTATTTTAGAAAGATTTATAGAAATTAAATGAATAGTATAAATTGCCTCAGTTAGTGGTAGAGCTGGAAATTAGATCCAGATGTTCTGATATTATTACCAATGTTCTTTTATTTAATACCACACACTATTTTGTAATGCCTGCCTTATTGATTAATTTAACTGTGTGTATAAATTGTAGACCTTAAATACTTTATTGAAAAAAAAAGCAAAACCAAAATGAAACAAGAGCAAAAAAACTTTCCTTTGACCCTATCTCCTTCTCATTCTACAATTTTTCTCTCCATCTTACTCCCTCCCCCATTTTTAACCCTTTTTGATTAGCAACAAAGTATCTAGGCCTCAAATGAAAATAACACTATTAAATGCAATTCCAAGTGACCTTTGCCAAATGGAGAAATTCAATGAATCCAATGGAATAAAATGTAATAGACATAAAATATAAGACCTTTCAAATGAGAATCCTTCACCTGTTTTATGTTGTTAGGTGTGTTTGAGTTGGTTCAGACTCATAACACCCCTCCGTACAACAGAAGGAAACGCTGCCCAGTCCTGCACCATCCTCACAATTGTTATGCTTGAGCCCATTGTTGCAGCCACTGTGCCAATCCATCTAGTTGAGGATCTTTCTCTTTTTCTCTGACCCTTTATTTACCAAGTATGATGTCCTATTCCAGGACTGGTCCCTCCTGATAACATGTTGAAAGTACATGAGACAAAGTTTCACCGTCCTGGCTGTACTTCTTCCAAGACAGATATGTTCGTTCTATTGGCAGTCCATGGTATATTCAATATTCTTCGCCAACACCACAATTCAAAGTGATTTGGCAGCCCTCCTGGGAATTTCACAATTACACATTCTTGGCATCTCCCTTAAGTTTAAATTTTAGAATCCTTTTACAGATGTTAGAATCTAAGAATAAGAGAGTCCTATTCTGACTCTGTGCTTTCAGACAAAAAGAGGACGATTGTATTGCTTTCTAAGCATCACTCTTTATGAGGAAAATCAACCCATTGAAGTATGTTTAACAGTTAGGAGCCACCATGGTAATGACAAATAGTATAGCTTGAGGGAAACAATTACCGTCAGAAAATATTTGGAAGGCTAACAAATAAAAGAATTTAAAATTAGTGTGAACATACCATTAGTGATTTTCTAACAATTGGAGCTACCAACAGGTTGACAGCATTGCCAGGGGATGTGATGAGACCCTTGCAACTGGTAAGTCTCAGTTGGACCAACCCTTGAAAGGGATAACCTGAGAGAGAAATCACTGGGTGGCTAGTTGCAGTAGATGACTTGTATTATTCCTTTTAATTCTAAAACTCTATTTTAAAAAATCAATTCACGCCACATTGTTGAAATTTTTCTTTAAAACCATTCATTTCCTTCGAATATCAAATCCATAAGCCTTTCTTAATCTTGTATGATATTCTGTATTGCTAATCACACATTCCTTATGAATTCTCTCCTCCCTTGATTTCCATGATTTTTTTTTTGTTGTTGTTGTTCTCCTTTTTATTTCTGCTGACACCATTCCCACCTTCCGTTCACTCCAAGTTCCTGAGCATGCTTTTCCATTTGGTGATCTATTCTACTGCCACAGGTTCAAATATCATCTGTATACATATGACCCCTAAATCTCTATACACAGTTATTGTATTTCTTCTGAATTAAAGTCCTGCAGTTTCCTGTGACTTCCTGGAGTAGTTCTATGTGTTCTGACAATATCTATTTCTGACCTCTCAAATTTAATATGTCCAAACTTGACATTGTTCTCTAATTAATCCCTTTCTATCCATTCCTTGGTCTTCCACACCCATTCAGTTGTCATAGCCTTCATTTACTCTCTTCACAATCTTTTTTATTTACACAACAATCTATACTCGATCTCTCTATTTCTATTGAACTTGGGCATAAAATACAGCAAATATCCTCCTAGAACGTGCAATCACAACTTTTATTTAGGGCAAGGATGAGGCAGTGGAACCATTTGTTCTGAATGAATCTTTTACTAAAGCTAAATACCTAAAACAAATCACCTGGAATCAGTTCTGAGTTGACGTGGGCAGGGGAGACCAGTAAGTTCACTTACTCATCATCCCTGTATCTCCTTCTGAGAGATGGTCCCTGTGAAAACTGTTGTTCTAGAGATTTTAGTATAAGGCTGTTTTATGCTTTCATAAGAGGCTGTTTCAGGCAAGCAAAAGAACATGGCTTGGATAATGATCTGGGAATATCATAGGTGTAGCTATCATACTGTCCACGATTTTAATAAAGTTGAACAGAAAGAAGGGAATGTGTTAATGTATTTATTCCAATCAAAGTTGTCAGTGCAGTTAATTACAAGTATTAGGAATATAACAAACTAAGTTAAAAGATTAATGTACAAAAACTATCTATTGCCTGCAACTCTGAGAAATGAAATCTTTCTATGATGATTGTTCTGCGTAGAATTTGAGCATAATCCTTCACCTCTTACTCTAACACCTTGAAAAGTTTATTCGACCTGAGAAAATGCTCTCTCCTTCCTTCAACAATTAAATACAAGAATGAATCAATGAGTCTGAAGGCTGTGACAATTGGAAGCATTACTCAAGGATTTGTGTTTTGTCTTCTGCTCTAAGTCTCCACTTTCATAACCAACTTCTTTTCAAATGAAGAATTCCTGATTTTTAGTTTTAGTCATTTTCATCTCATGTGCTTTGGACATGTTATCCAGAGAGACCATTCCCTGGAGAAGAACATCATGTTTGGTAAAGTAGAGGTTCAGTGAAAAAGAGGAAGACCTTCAACAAAGTCGATTGACACCGTGGCTGCAACAATGGGGTCAAACATAGCAGTGATTATGAGGATGGTGCAGGACCGTGTAACGTTTCATTCTGTTGTACACAGGGTCGCTATGAGTTGGAACCGACTCAATGGCACCTAACAACAACAACGTGGCATGCAAAGATATAATTTGATTAATGTTGACTGTTAGCACTAGCAATCCATGGAAGTTCTACATCTCATTACCTACACTGGGTATTATTCCACTTGTCTGTTAGGTGTAAAGTGATGTCTTTCTCTTGTTTTAATTGTATTTCTCTGAGTACTAGTATTATGAGCATTTCTTTAAATGCTTGCTAGCTTTTTGAGTCCATTTTTTGTAAATTTCCTTTTAATATCCTTTGCGCATATTTTTTACTAAGATTGCTCTTTTTTCTTGTTGATTTGCAGGAGTGTGTGTGTATGTGTTCTACACAATCACTACATTGTCAGATTTAGGCATTTCAAATATCTTCACCTATTCTATGCATAGTGTTTGCCTAACAGAAAGTCAAAATTGTATGTTGTCAAATTCATAATTTCCTTTAATTTATACTTTTGATTCTTTGCTTTAAAAAATATACTCCTCATTCTAGGTACAAAGATTGTTTTTGTATTAACGTTAACATTTTCCCTTTCTCATTTTGTTCTATAATCCATTTCTTTGTGTAGTTTGGGCAGGGATTTGTAGTTGTAATGACTATGGAAATGAACCTCTCAGACCTCTTGCTATGGGGTGTATAATTGACAAATGGCCCCAGCTGATATCCTCTGAGCCCACCACTGCATTCACACAGACGTGCTTTTCACAGGCTTCTCTCAGCCTATGACTAAGCACAACAGAGATATTAAGGCAGGTCCATTCCTGGGAGATGTGGGACTCCTCTGATGGGAGACCTTGCCTTGAGGCTTCCTCATAGTCCTGACTGAATTTTCTTGGAACTGTGCTTCCATGTGAGACTTTTCCTATCCAACTCTTCTTTCTTCTGTCTGTACTACACAGGTGTCAGAACAGCACTGCACTGTACTGAAGGCTCCCTCTGACTCTCCAGCTTGCATCTCATTTTCCCTCACAGAAATTATCCTCAATAAATCTCTTGCACTGCAAATCCCATCTTGAGTTCTGAGTGGAATGGTTTTTGATCAGTCTGAGAAAATTTAGGACTGACTAACTCACTTCACTGCCTTTTGGGCAAAGGGAGTGCCAACCTGAGTGGTATGCGGGCACAGATAATACCTGGCATAAAATGGTAGCTGAGTTGCTAAGGATTTCACTATTGGTGACCTGGGAAAGCTTCCTGGTGGAGGCAACTCCATTACAGGTGTGATGGTTAGGCATTTGCAAGATAAGGTGAGGAAATACCTACAAAGACAGTGGAGTTAGCTGGTTACTGCTAAATTGTATTGTTGCCCTGCTGAGGGATGAGGAGAAACTTAGGTCCATTTACAATCAGTTAAAGGCTGTGTGGAGCCCTGTTGCCGCAGTGGTTAAGAGCATGGCTACTAACCAAAAAGTCAGCAGTTCAAGTCCACCAGTCTCTCCTTGGAAACCCTATAGGGCAGTTCTACTCTTTCCTGTAGGGTCACTATGAGTTGGAATCAGCTCGAGGGCAAAGGGTTTTTTTTTTTTTTTGCTAAAGGCTGAGTAGGAAATCCAATTACAAAAAGGCCCTTAATTCCCGCAGAGGAAAAGTAGACATAGTTAAGCACCAGGCTGAAGATCTAACAGGTTGATTCACAGTGTTCCAGAGATGTTTGAATGTTGGCAAGATGTTTGAATGCTGCCTTGAATGAGTTAAGGTAGGTCTGTTATGCTGGGCCATGGTTAGAACCTGGAACCTTGAAACATAAGATGGGGACAACGGCATGGATGTCTTTAATGATGCTGATTCTGGAGGCCTACCTGAGACCTCAGAGCTTGCAGAAGTGGCCCTCTTGTCATTGTAAGAGTCAGCTATTCTGCTATGTTGAAAGATGCTTCAGTTTCCCCATCAGTCAACAAATGCCCCCTATGGAAATATTCCCACCTCCTCAACCAACTTC